CGGGAAAAGTCTGTACGTAAAACGGCCGCTATCCAATCGTTCGGCCACTCTTTATTATTATTGTCTAGGTTCTCCGTGCATAGCCGTTACATGCTATTATAGATTTTTGGCGCTACTGCATAATATTATAATAATAGTAATATAAACGTAGTGTGCGAGTTTTAAACGTTATTCTTACACACTCCGTTTGAGATTATTTCGAAAAGATAACACGGCATAGCGGTACAGTCGGGGGACAGGTGAGGGTCGGCGCAAAAGGATATACGCGAGCGCGTGTTATCGCGCGTCCCCGTGCGTGTTTGCAGTCTTGCAGTATGCCCTCTCCGACGACGGTCCAATAAAACGCACTCGTAACACGTAATTAATTTCCGTGCCGCACGCTCTTCTTCGCCGCCCCTCCGTCCCATCCTGTCCAACCCGCCGCCCATGCCATCCGGCCGTCCGAATCTCTATCGTCTTTGTCCTTTGACCGGGTACCGCGCACCGGGTATATACCGCACTATATGCACACGGGCCGCCGCGTGTACCACCACGGTATTATCGTGCGTTATATGCTCGACCGCCGCTACTGCCGCCGCCGCTAAAACGGCATATATTATATAATTTACGAGTATAAACGTGAACTCTCTTTCCACCAAACATTATTATTATTATTATTATACGCGCGTATATAGGGAGACGATCCCTCCTTTCCCCTCATACCTCTTCCTCCGGAAAACAATACAATACGAGCGCGATATTATAATGCGCCGGAGTATTCGCACGCGATTACAATATTATTATTATTATTATTGCACTGTCTAAAACACGAAAATGGCGGTTTACTTATATTACCTGCGCCTAACAACAATAAAATATTATTATAGTAGCGTTCGTAATGTTATTTCGTGTATATAATATAATGCCGCATCGCGTAGACTATACAGGCTATTAAGTATAGAGCGGACAGCGCCACCAGAGAAAATTAGTCCAACATCATTTGGTAAGTAAAAACGGATAGGATCCCGAGGAGAGAAAAAGAAATATTTCCGGTTTTTTGTTTCGCAAAATGCTTATCGATTTATCGTCAATAATACCGTCGAAAAATCGATGAACGCATTTGAGATGCAATTCCATAGACGCATGAAAAATATTGATTTGACGAATAGTGTATCAAAATATAACGAGTATAATAAAAACGAAAAAGGACTGAAACGAAAGATACCATAAGACCGAGAAAATTAAAACGGCTAGACCATACTTTGAGGTATAACAAGTAGTCTTTGAAGGAATTATATCCGGGAAAAAAGATGACCTAGAACAAACTATATATTATTTATTAAATGCAGACTGAAAAACCCAAATGAATAAAAGAATACTTAAAAGAATACCGTGTAGATAATACTTAACACGTTATTTTAAAAGTTACCGTTATTTCTGTATTAGAGCATCTATGATTCTATTATGAAAATACTTATAATACGATGATAAGGATTATTTTTTATCGGTGATGTTTGTATTTTAATATAGTTGATTAAGACACTTTCTGGAATTTAATTTCAAAATAATTACTACGAATTATTTGTTATTGGTAATATGCACGTTAAATTAATTTTTTTCATGGAAAAAACGGGAATAATGTCTTTCATTTATCAGCTGTTACCTGAACATTTCATCAGGTGCAGTCCGCCAAATTTAATTGATTTTGTTTCGGTATGCACCGTACATTAATACATTTTCGCGTGGACGTTATTGAATTTTTTGTTTTCGTTAAAAAGAAAAAAATGCAATTTCCGTTATTGTTGATAATCCATTATTTTATATATAATTTATTATACATGTATATATATATATATATTCAGAATCCGATTATAAAAGTTTGAAATTCAATATAAAAAAAAAAAAAAAAAAAACTAAAAAAACGACAAAAACTTTCCAGGGTCGTTTATTTTATAGAAAAAACCAACGTTCGGGAACTATACATTCCAAAGTATATTTTATTTTCTCGCATAGTTTATTGCAGTTTCTATCGTTTTGTTCTTTTTAACTCAATTACGTCATTGTACATTTTAATTTATGTCTTCGGCCTTATAAATCGCACGGCACGCCCATATACACCAATATAACACATAGGTATATATTATATACCTATGTGAGCATACGTATATTATATATAAAATAATAAAAGTTATAATATCTGCCCTTTGACGTTTTAAACGAATTACGTTTTAGTTGGGTAGGTACTTTGCTAGAATTAATTTAATATTATAACATTTTTCTTCTTTTTTTTTTTTAAACCTGAGCAGTTTTATCGAATAATTAAATTATTTTTAAAAACTTTACCATCTCTGTTCAGTGTATATTATATACTGCAGTAGGCAATAATAAATTATTTTAAAATGTCTTTTTGAAACGCGCCAGTATAGTTTTATCAGAAAATATATTCGACATCACAAAATTATATCTTGATCTGCAAGATCGAAGAGACACACCACGGACGCGTGCAAATATTACAGTTTGGCACCGGCCCCGTACGATATTATGTATTATAATAAATATATAGTATTGTAAACGCAATAGAACCATGCAGACTTGTTTAGTAAAGGTCAGTTTTACAAATTTTATTACAATTTATAAAAAATATTAATATTATTATGAATATACTGAGAAATTTCACATCGTCTTTAGATCAGACCGATCTATATGCGTTTATATACGTCACTAAAACACTGATAGGCGCCGAAAATTGTTAAATGTTAATATAACCTTCGACTCTATGACTTAGAGGAAATGAAAACCGATAAGTGTATATATATATATATATATATATATATGGTAACAGTGGCGGATTCTAAGGGAGGAGATAGATAACCCGGACCCTCTTTGACATTTATATTATATTTGTAATTGTAATAATAAGTTAGTAATGATTATTATAATAATTATAAATCGTCGTTTAAATTGTGGTAAGATCAATTATTAAGATAGTAAGTCGATATTTGATTGTAATCTTATCTGTATTTTATATTTAGTGTTCATTTTTAAAAACCAATATGAAAAATTTGGGTCCTCCAAAAAAAAAAATCCTGTATCCACCACTGTGCGATAGTGTATGCCCGCACAGATAGACGGCAAACGATTTCATATAATAATCGTGTTGGCATAGCGAGAGAAATAAATAGGAAAAGAAAATTTAATTGCAGACCTACCGCCCCTTCATCCCCGAACAAAGACCTCCCAAAAATACGGCCGTCACCGAAACGTCCGACAAAGTACATTGCACACAGACGTGTTTTATCCTCGAAACAAGAATGTAATATTTTGTTGGCTCCGTGTATACAATTAAAGCGGCTTATCACATCTAATCAAAATTACCGAAAAATTTGTCCGTTTCGCACGCGGACAAAAAAAACGGAAAACGGAAATAAAAAGGTGATGTTAATTAATATCTCGGGAATTTATTTAATTTTTAAAATTGTTTTTTTTTCTCGCGTACAAAGCGAATATAATACTAGATAGGTATATGCATAAAATATTATACGCGTGGTACTCACCTCATGGTTGTGGAATTATTTGCCATCCCCTCTATGTATTTATTATTTTAATCTCGTGTTTAAATCGGGTACGGACGGGAAGGAAAAACCGACCGCAGCAATAATAATAATTTTTTTTTTACGACAGAAACGGTAATTCGGGAGATATAAAAAAAAAAAAGAAGCGTCGAGTATTTTCGAGGATACACGCGCGTTTCGTAGTTATGACGGGGTCCGTAGGTCGAGTCGAACTAGAGCAGCGGGTTTCACGAAAACCGTAAGTCGGTGTATTCTTTTTAACTTGGCTCGGGCGCGCACATACACGTTGCTACGGAAACGTGATTTTTCCCCCTTTTTATTTTATTTTTTTGTTCTAGCGGTTTTTGTCTTTTTTTTTCGTTATCGCGCGTACATTAAAATAGTACGGATCGCGAGGATACGCCGTCATATCGGGTCAATCGGCAACGCTCTATGATAATCATAATAATAATAATAATAATAATAATATCGTATAAAACATAGGTATACGGCGCACGTACATATATTACGGTAATCTGAGGCTGTGCACTTTTGGATTAGCGAGCACACATTTTAATTAGGAACTGTGCCAGCGGCAATTAATAACGCTCCGATGACGACCTCGGGAGAGAGTATATTTATTCTGCAGTATACGTTATCGTGCGTATTATTACATTATAATATTATTATTATTTTAATCAATACGCGGGGAATAGTACTGTATATATATATATATATATATACATATATTAAGGGGAAAGCAGTCGTCGAACAAAAAAATTAAAGTCCGTGTAACCGAAAACCTATAGACAATATGTCCGCATGTCTTTTGGATCTGACGATCTTTCTTTTTTGCGAAACACCCGTCTATTTCGATTTGGATTGTTTTTCAATGTGAGTATTATTTTCACGTTTTTTCGGAACAAAAATTATCTATTTCGATCGAGTTTTCGTGAAATTTTCCTATGAGTATAGGCCAGGTATAAAAGAAGAAAAAAAAAATGCAGAAATGTTACTACTACACGTACTACACATATAAAATGTAACGTCGTCGATGAAACAGAATTTATTTGGCAAATAAAGTCAATGATAAATAAAAAACTATACTGATATTGTTATCACTTAACCGAAATAAACACGTAAATCTATAGAAAACAAATATTCCAACAATTATCTAATATATACGAATATATAATATATTTTAAAGTTCATCTCTATGGAGCGCTGCTGAAATAAATACAAGAGCACGCATTTTCATGGAGTTTTGATTGTATTTAAAGTAATATAAAAAAAACAAAAAAAATCGTCATTTATAGTAGCGAGAATCTATTGGGAAATAGAAATATTGAAAATTTCTACCGTGGATTAATCGTATGCGAGCGATGGGTAAACGTTTCCCGATATTTTGACATTTTTTTTTTTTTATTCCCCCAGATCTAAAATCCAAAAACAACCAAAATGCCTTGTTACAAGACATTAAATGAGAATGTGACGAAGTTCTCTTCACCCCAAATAATGTCAGGATGGTTTTATTACCAGCCCAAAATAATAATAACAAAAATGTTTGAAAACGTTTGCCTAATGATAATTACGCAATCTCCGCGACCTTATCGTTCAAATTTAATTATTACCCGTCGACTTTTAAATGTTAAGGATAATACCATAGTCTCTGATGTATGTATGGTTCGCACGTCATGACATTTAAACCACAGTGAATTTTACTTACCAATATATTATTATTGTTAGGTATATATTCTACCTTTGTTTGTTATAAATGAATACGCGAGCGATTATAATATAGGCCTGGGGAGGTTTTCGGGCACGCTTATACTTAGCCTTTTTTTATATAATTATACGGGATGATATTTTTGTCGCAAACCGGCCATTTTCTCGGAGGTTTTTAAATGAATTAAAATTTTTTTTTTTTTTATTTTTTTAATCATTATAGCAGAATCGTTGAAGTTTTATCATAAGACTATTTTTCATTTTTCTACCCCTACTCCTCATAACAAAAAATGATAGTATCCACTTTAGTTTTTTAAACAGCCGCCTCTTTCTAAACTACAGATTCGAATGAGAATATTTTTCTAGAAATTTTGATACGCGTAACATCAAAATAGGGGTTATCGTTTATGAGTTATAACAGTTTACGAGTTTAGACCGCCGAGGAATAGGGAATGGTAATAAATTGCAAATCTGTCACTGGCCGATCCGTGATGAATCAATCACTTTGTATACTCGTATTATTATTATAGATGTACGTAGACGTGGTTTTCGGTAAAAATCGCCTGGCCTTTAAGAGTCCCTTTATTATTGGGTACGCCACTGGCACGCGAAGTGTTCCAAATATGGCTGCATGCAGACATTTCGTATTGTTCGTGAGTTCACTGCCGATAACAAAAAAACAAAAAAAAATCCATGTTTTTGCGAGAATTATAAAATTATTTGACATTCGTTATCTGCAGTTTCGCTGCAGATGATCGTGCAAAATGTTTTTAGGACGGAAAAAATACGACTGAGGATTCGTGTTGTAGTTGGCTCTTCGAGAAAAATCGAAAAAGTACTTAAAAAAAAAAAAAAAAAAATACAAGAGTATAATTAATTCTTATAAACCATCTCAGACACGTTAATAGTATAAGAAAACAATTTTCTCACCCCCGGTTTACTTGCTGTGTTCGCAGACAATTTTGAGTAGGTACGAAGGATAGCGACAAAATTATCACAGATTAAATACGTTTGCATTGGTGAAACACCATAAAATTGGTTATATGAATATCTGTAAACATTAGATTTAATATCGAGCCGAAAGACGAGTACAATGACAATTTCACGGTGTAAATAAAATATCGAATCGTTCGTTCCCGACTAATCTTTCGCTCAATATTGGTTCCCCGTTTATCCCTTGAGCGTCGTTCGTGTATCGATGTTTCTACGGAATGATTGACATATTGAACCCATTATTATTAAACTTAAGCGTTTGAAGTGTGTGAAAATTTTTGACATTTTCAGGTTTTACTTGGCCTTTTTTTTTTTAGACGGCGAAATTGCCGTTTTTAACGCCGTCTATAATAATTACCCCTTCGGCGATGGTGCACGTCACTGTAGGTTATCGTCGGGCAAACGTTTTAGACATTTGGGAAATTACGTTACACGCTAAAACTGACGAGATTTATTTGTGTTATTTTTTTTTTTTCACTTGTGCGTCTCGTTAATTGCTGAGGGCAGAAACATTTCGAAACAATATAGATTATGGCAGTAGATCGTGTAACGAATCGATCAATTAATCCGTTAACACATCATTTTGGACGGACAAAACAATATTATTATTTATTATTAGTACTCGAGCGGACGCGCGTCGGGTTGGCATCGATTCAAAAGAAAAAAAAAGAACTGGGATCCGGAGATTCAACTCAAAACGTAAACAAAAAAAAAAAACAACAACGGCGTTGTTTTCAGGTTCGGGTTTAGTTATAGAACAATGACGAAAAAAAAAAAGCTCGTTTTCAAAAATTACTTTAGTATTTTCGGATTCGGAAAGACCGATAAAAAGTACTCTTAATATATGAAAGCACGAACACAAATATATTAAAACAAAATTGTAGAAACTCAATGATTCGCATTATTCGTAAACATTGTGAACGCCGACGACAATTTGTGTCAAAATACAGTTATTTAAAAAAAAAACTTGGATTTTTAAAAACGATTTTTTTATTTTTGTTTTAAGAGCGGAAATAAAATAAATGAACCATAAGGCAAAAGTTCTAAAAATCAACACGAGAAAAAAAATATTCAAAAATATTTAACAATAATTATTTTCAACGTCGGAACTTCGTGTTACACTCTGTATGTATGTATTATATATTTTTTATTGTAGGTAGTGTTTTAACGATTTTGACCGTTTGAAATCTTTATAGAAAGCACATAATACGACATTATTATAAATAAGCAGTTTGAAGGTTAGGCGCATACGAAATAACAATATTGTAAAGTGTATTAGCGCGTGCTAAAAAAATAAAAATAAAAACACCCCGGTTTACGTTTACCGGCTGAAAGTTTTGCGTAGGTACAGATAAATTTTAATAGCCGCCTTCTCGTCTGGCCATATTTAAAATTATAAATGCTTAAAAGGTAACCTAGAAATTGCGTACACCAGAACTTTTAACTTTTAACGCGTGTAGCACTCCGGAGACCGATTTGAAGATAAACCTATTTAGAATGCATTTTTTTTTCTGACATATACACAATTTTGTTTAAATATTTGACCTGAAATCGCATAGATAACCGTAATCTCCTTTTCTGTAAATGACGACACGATTATGCCATAAAACTATTCGTTTCCCGAAGAAAAAAAAACCTTCTACTCTAAAATAGATGTTTCCATATATTTTTTATTTTTTTGTAACACTGTGAAACGCTTGCAAAGTATTTCGGTTAAAGTATTTACAAATATTCAAATGTCTCAACAATACCATTCGAATACGCGTACAATTTGGTGAACATCATAGTCGGTATTATTTTTTTTCCCCCAATAATACGTTACAAAGTTGATGAAGATGAAGAACTGATTTTAAACAATTTTATTTACATTGTCTCTCTTCCTCAATACACCGCAATCACGTTGAAATCGTGAAACGGATTCGAAATTGTAACTTGTGTTGATATTAAGCCAGTATTGATAATGTGCAAAAAAATATCGAATATTAGCGAATTTAGGGCAAAACTTTTTAAATGTATTTTATTAATGTATTTAAATATCTGTATATATGCATTACATAAAGACATTAAAAAATAAACGTATCATTTACACGTCTGCACCCATGTATTTGCGCAAGGTTTAGAAATTTAATTATTGTATATTTCGTTGTTTTTATGATAACGCGTATAAAAAAAAAAAAAAAATGATCGTAAATAATATAACTCATTTAAGCCGCACGTTATGACGGATGGGCGGAGAAAAAAATCTTGGTTTTCCTATTCGTAAACGGTTATAACGCAAAAAAAGGATAAAAGAAAAAATAATAATAAAAAAAAACGTATAGATTAAATATGTTTAAACTTTGTTAATAGAAGGCTACATATAGATTGTAGTGTTTTAGAATGCGCGAGAGGTGAAATTTTTTAAGACATGATTTTCTGACACTTAACCGAGACGAGACTGTAGGCATCATTTTATTTCAGACGTTAAAAAAGTTTCTGTTGTTTTTTTTATTTTTTTTTTGTCCTTGTATATTTGTAGAGAGAGAAAAAAATTATTTCGCATGTCTCTACCGATTTATATCGTAGTTTTTTTTTTTAGTTATTTATTTTTTATAATATTAAAATTCTGCGTAAATCGTTTTCAATCTTGGCCGTTTACGCGCAAATGATTTTAAAAATTTAATTTACTTGAGAGTTTTTCCGCCATATTAACTACAACTGATATTATGAATTTAATGTACTACGTGCGAGCATTTATCGGGCAGAAATCAACGAATGCATTTGGCTAGACATGCGTGGAGACGTCACGGTTTCTGCAAACGAGTAAAATAAATAGGTAAAATAAACGGCAGAAGCCTCAGAGGTCGCCGCATGCAAAGATGGCCAGGCACTCTGAAAGCAGACCTTGAAAAGGTTGTGCGAAGAACGGAGCTGGAAGAGAACGGAAACAGAGAAATAGACGATGGAAGTACAGTTAAAGCAGAGAAGGCCATGAATAAAAGCTACGCTACAATAAAAGAAGAAGAATTCGAACCGTTGATATGGGCTAATGTCAGAACCTCACCATGAACCCACCTAATTTCGGTTTTTTTTTTTTTTACTTTGGGGTTTATTTCAAAATTTCTATGGGAGGACAAATATCCGTCGTAAAAATTCTGGGCAATATAGAAATCTGGCATTACACATGTGAAATACCTACAAATCTGGACATATAGTGGACTAAAACGTCAAGATTTTTATGGTCCTGCAAGGACGTCATTCAGACATATAATTTCATAGACCGCGAATGGAAAGAAAACTATATGATGCTATCATCATGATATGCACGAGAGAGAAAGGGTTCTTTCTCGGACCACAAGAGGTTTTTCTCGCGGAAGAGTTAGGAAAACCGTTTTGTTTTTCCAGTGATCGGTAAAATAATAATCGATAATAAAAAACGTTGTAAATGAAATCGACATACAGACAATCAATTGAATACTGTAGAAGATAATATTATGACTATCTCCAATATTATACCGTAGAACAAACGGTTTTCTCTTCTGTTTTCGTGAGAAAACCTCTTCAGAGTCTGCGTCTCTCGCACATACGTTGACTTTTATATCGTTTATACCAGCAATTATTACAGCGGTCAAATTGTCGTCCATTAATCGCGGTATCGACGTAATGTCAACAAATCGACGGTAAATATCGACGTTATACATTGGCATTTAATCGCTCAATTATTTGTTTAACAGAATATTTCGCGCTACATTACAATTCGATATTGAAACGTAAAAACGGGATGAGAAACCGCGAGCGGGCTACGGGAGCTGATCAGAGTGAAAAATCGGCTCTACTATCGGACCTGTATTGAAAAACCGAAACGACGCTGTTCGCCACGGACGCTTTGACGTTTCGCGGTTCTAACCTAGTTGAACGCGCCCCGACCGCGAGGCGCCGGTTATTTCGGGCCAACTCGTACGGACGACGGACGGGGGCGAACGGATAGAAGAGAGTTTCGAATCGTTACGGGGTCGGAACGCTAATCGAGCGCTGTACTACGCGTGTTTTGTCACCGACGCGCCGATCGCGCAAAGTTATAATAATAACAATATATTATTGACGACCGGTGGAAATGCGTATTTCGCCTCCGGACGAAATGAACAAAAAAAAATACGTCCTAATATATTATTATTATTGCGATAATATATTAACGTGCGAAGGGGGGTGGGTGGGAGGGCAACGTTTACCGCGTATACGTATACGAACAGCGCGTATTATTATGACGTTTCCGTGGACAATTTGTATCGACCCCTCCACCGCCATCTCACGGACGGCGGCGTCCCAGCGGGCGACCCGGAGTTTTTGTGACGCTGCGGCGGCGGCGGCGGTACACCGAAGAGTAATGTCGAGTCGCAGCCGACGCCGCGTCGCGTCGCACTGCAGTCGCTCTGCGGACAAAACCAGCCGCACGACCGTCGCCGCACGTCCCTGTCCTCCTACCCACCACCGACGATGTTCGCCCCCTTTTATATTATGCATTATACGCGCACGCACACGCAAACACGCACATGCACACGCGGCCCCTATATTCTTCTACACTCTTCGGCGCGTTCGATTGTCTGTCCGCTCCTCCTGCAGCGCCGCCGCATACATTCGCCGCAGCACGCGACATCCCGTCGTCGGACCGAGACTTTCACCGTCGTTCCCGCCGGCTACGTGACCGTTGGCCGATAACTTTTACAGCAGCTCCCTCCACGTCGGACCGCGAACCGCGTAATTGGCTGCCGTCGCGGTACCTGTGTATTGTATTCGTAAACACTGATAAAGGCGCCCTCGCTCACGGCTCGCTATCGCGCTAGACCGCGGCGCCATACAACCGCTACTCGTTTCGCGATGTTTGTCCGTGATGCGGATACGCTTATCGAAACGTTCGCGTTTGCTCTTTTGCGAGAATTGTCTTCTTCTCCGGGTCGACGGCCATTTAGATCGGCCCTTCCGAGCGAATACTCCTCCGTCATCCCGTTTTCGTCCTCCGCCGCACACCCCGAGTTTCACCGCTCAGAATCTTTTCCTGTTCTCGCTGGGATCTCGCGTTTATGAGGCCGACTGTTGAAAAACATCCCGTAGAATATCCAGATTGTTTCCTCCGTTCCTCGGTTCGCGAGCATCCTTTCGCGGTCCGAAAATTTCGCTCGTAATATTCCTTTCGAAATCGGCCGGCTTTATTATGTTCATTAACAATACTATATATTCTGCGACGCGACATGAATCCGAATTTCAAAATGAAAGAATTCTGATTTCAGATTTCAAAATTCGAGTAGAGTTAGGTAGGAATATTATACTCGGGTTTTTTTTTTTCAATTTGAAATACGTTTTCGAAAATCCGGATTATCGAACTTCGGCGAATCCGGATTTTTCCTGCCGTTAATTCAAATCCAATCGTTCCGCCGTCATTCGTGACGTAAATAAAAACGTATAAAATATCGTAATATACGGCGAGAAATGTGTCTGTACTCGGAGGCCCGCGAAAATAACGGGTCTGACGCGTCGCTCGAGTTTTTTTTCCCCTCCTTCGCCCGTCCCACACCTTAATACGACGGCACACTTTTATCCGACGGTTTGATCCGTCCGTATCAAACCGTCCGCCGCCGAGTAATCTCGCGTCTCCGGCGGACCCTGCCGCCCCGGGGCTTTGGAAAATCTATAACAGACGTTTAAACCTCTAGTATACTCGGCTTAACTCGTCCCACGGCGGCTGCGGTTTCCGTAAACGGCCCATCACAATCTATTACTACCTACAACACCGCGTCACGCGTAATTTCACAATATCATCGAACCGTCTCACGCTGTGCAATATTATAAGCCAACGTTATCATATCGCGTATCCGCTACGATGCACTCGTGCGCGTAGGTACCCGGTACGCGATATCACAACTAATACGATATTATTGTACGATGACGACGAGTGATAACGGCCGTCGAAAACAACGTGCCCCCGGCGACGAAAACGACTCGAATCAAATTTGTCGGCACCGTTATCGACGACGGAACGACAGGGGACTGGCGAAGGAGATGACGCGACGTCGAACCGTGCGTTACGACGGAATTAGCGGGTACCAATAACGCGCTCCGGTAAGGGTTCAATCGGCGAAGAACGATTGAGCAAAACTTGCACAATCGTGTATACTCTAATAGCCATCGAAATACATATACTATTGCGCAAATGTATCATATTTATATATACGATTGTGCAAGATTTTAAATGCAACGTTGCCATGCATAAATAAATATATTACTATAACATCATATATTACCAACTGCATTCTATGTGAAAACCACAAAAAATTATTATCTATGTTCAAAACCATGATCATCTCAAAGTGTGTAAAAATAAACATTTATTCCGTTAACTGTTGTTATGTCGTACACTGGGGTTCTATAACTAATGCATTATAGCAACGTTGCATTTAAAATCTTGCGCAATCGTGTATATATATACGAGAAATCCGCGCGTTCGTACTGTAGCCGATTAAACAGCAAAGAAGTCACGTGGCGAGAAGACGTGAATACGAGACGATTATTGGTGTACCTAATGGAGCGGAACCTCGAATGAGAAGAACGATAGATAATATATAAGATAGGCTTATAAATCACGATATTAGCTATAATCGGTATATCAATTGTAATATCAATAATAAATTATGTGAGCATATAATTTTTTCGCTTGGAGCGCCCGTGTTTGGTTTTGAGACACGGTTCAGAAAAATGATGGGTTCGGTTTGACGGTCAACTTATCGCGTTTCGTCGTCTGACCAGTATATTATATCTTGAACCATGGTACAAGTGACGTCCGTTTCTTTATCATATCTATGGAAATCGCGGTGCCCATCGTTATAACGATGCCATGATATCGTGCGGGTTCACGCGTGTCGGACAGTCCCCAATCGTTGGCGGACGATAGTGACGCACGCCATCATGTCGTGTTTTCGGAACTTCGGGGCTCGCGGTCGATTTCGGAAAAGAACCGTCGCGGCCAAAAGCGGTATTACGATAATTTACTCGGACCGGAATCCGTGTAGAACGTGCAGGAACTTACCAAAGGCGACAAATGTGATGCGGGTCGATAATATAGCGGTTTCCGCTTCTTGATGCGCGAAATATCGATTGACTGGAGCTTTGATGGTATGTAACGGTCGAAATATCCCCCAGGAACCGTGTTCCGGTGTAGGCGTTTATAATAACGCATTATATTTTTTTTTTCAACACGGAGGTCGGTCCCCTATTCCTGCGATTCTCCGTTCCGACCCCGGTCGTTCGCCTTTTCTTCGAGTCGTCTAAAGGATTTTTATACCTTTGCGTCACTTTTTATTCGTCCTATATAGGAGTTTCGAGGACGTCCTTAGAACGTATCGTCGGCTAGGTCACACACAGAGAGGGTGGCGGCTGTAGACGTACTTTAATATTATAATATTGCGTGCCGGCCGACAATTATGAACGAACATTCCAATTAAAACGGAATTTATCGCAAACGCCGCGGCGGCCATAATGAATACGACGTATTATTGAACGATATTCGCACAAGTATTTAACGACCGCGGCGTTTCCGTGGCTTTAAATACCGCCGACGCCGTTCTCTCCCGGGGAGAGAATTCGGTGCGTTCCTTTATATTTTTTTCTCTCGATTTATCGGGATAGTTATTATTTTCCACCGCGCGATCGGCCAAATCGAGATGTTATTTTGTTCCCGCGCTTCGCCAGGCGGATCGTTTTATTACGAGACGACACGACTGCATGATCGTTAGAGGACTTTTCTGTATTTCGGATTCGAACGCTGGGATTGATATCGGCTATATCGGGTGATCTTTGGAAATGGGTACGTTCATCGTCTCCGAAAACATACATTTTTTTCGTCGACAATTATATAATATAATAAACGATTGGCTCTAAAACGTTTCGTTTCCGTTAATTTTATCGTCCTTATTTACGGGGAGCGTGAAATGACTAACTACTTGCGACTTGCCCCCAAACAGCTTTACCTATATTAAAAGGTCTACGTAAGGACGGAATTCAGTTGAAATAAATTTCGGCTTTGAAATATTTGATTTCCATCGACCTGACGTATTCCGCTTTTAAGTTTGGGCAGGTGGAGAGTAGTAGAACATCATTTGTGTACCGTGCCGGAGTGGAACGTTTTAACAATGCTCCGGTATTCTCTCCCTACCCTAGGGGCTATAACAAATACATCAACGTATACCGATCAAAAGGAATCATAGTCGTTTCACCCTAAATAATAATGGAAACGAAAAGTAATGAAAATGTAAAATTTTAGAGCCGCTAGTTTCTTAAACTGTCAAAAAAAAGTTAATATTTTCTGAGATAATGAGCATATACACGGAAATACCCATTACAATATGTATGTGCATGTGTGTTTTTTTGTGCTTGTTTACTAATTTTCAACCAGAATCTCGTTCTAATCAAAAAGCGACAAGAGAGCTACTTTTTGTTTAATTTTTATTTCTTATCGTTGATTCGAGATCATTTTATATTTGTCTTAATAATTAGGGAAAAAATATAAAAGAAAAACAAACAAATTTACAACAATTTTCACAGAACACTAATAGGCTTCTTGGACTTATCAAAACCTTATAACAATTTTATGAACATTTTTTGATTTTCGACGCCATTTATTAAATAAAAGCATTTGAGGGGGAGAAAATATTGGAAAATATACAAATTTACGATTTCATTATTTTATAAAAATACGGACGACGTTTTCTAGTAGAAAAAATATTTAATCGAAAAATCACAATAGTTCTTTTTTATTTACTTTCTTAGGGTGTACTTGTCAATATCTTTGAGTCACTTTTGAGCTTTTAAAGAATTTTAAATTTTGAGAGTTTTTTAGCTGTAATTCGGTTATAAATATACGTAGAGACTTGAAACTTGCTATTAGTACTTAAATTGTACTAACCTAGATGTGGTAAAATTACCAAAATTATCAGATTGTTTTTTTTTTTTTTTTAATAAGCGTTTTGAAATCAAATTTAAATGAAAATAGCAAATAAAATTACGGCACTTCAAATTACCTATTATCGA